GGAATGGAAGCAAATACTGTTGAATGATGATGCACTGTCTAGGAAACACTATGGTCTACTCTGTAAAATAGGGCCTGTGTGAGTCAAAAATTGACTTAACAACAACCAGAGAATCAAAATCTGATGTAAGGCATGGAGGAGTAAGCAGGCAGGCAAAATATCTGGATTTTTAAGAAATCCTTACACTAAAAGGTTAAGAAGTATTACTAAAAAGGACAGGATAGGTCTAACCACTGAATTACTTAGTTTTTCAGATAAGGCACTAAAGTCTAATATTTTCAAAAATCTTTAGTACAAAATATAAATATAATGACTCCTAAGAGTATTAAAATTTTGTTTCATTTTGCTTTTTAACTGCATAGCTACATTAAACCAATCTTCCAATTAATTTTGATAGTAGTTAAATGGTGCATTGCAGGGGTAAAGGTGCCCTCCTCTGCTCCACCACATCCATGGATATATTTGAAGCAGAGATAAATACACATGTTGGAATATCCTCTGTCAAACCTATATATATTTGTAAGGATAGTACCACTCTTCCTCGCATACCTGTTCAACTTGAATGTCTTTTCAGGCATCTACAAGTAGGTCACCATTCCAAATCCAGATATTGATGAAGCACAGAATGAATTCCAGACCTCCAGTCCTCCCTTGAACCAGCCCAATCTAATCTAGGCTTTCCAACACCATAACAGCCTATTACAAAACAAAATTTAAACCACTGAACTCAACAATTCTAATTTTGCACTTCTGTTTTGGGATGGGTTATTTTAATTTTATACTTTAAATAACTTTTTAAATTTAGTATCATGTAATCTTATAATTCCATTGGTAAATGGAAAATGTATTTCCCAGATTAGACTACGTATAGTATTTCTACTGTGCATCTCTACTTTGATGAAAAATAATATTGCCAGTTTGAGGAGTTGGACACAAACCAAGTCTAGGTCAAAGAGAAAGACCTTTTCATCTTTTTTGTTTTTAAAGGATGAAAAAGAGAAAACAATCCACTATTTCCAACTCTACCACTGTGATCTAAAATATATGTAATAAATGCATATTTGTGATGAAATGTTTTCCCTGGTGTATATTTAGTGGTTCTCAGATGAGCTGAATCACGGTTTTAGAGAATGTTCATTATCTATGTACCCTGTGAATGGGGCAGATCTCTGTAACACTGCTTTATAATTACTGTAGTAATTTAAAATAATAACGTAATTACTATCAAATAAAAACATTGACTAAGACTAAGAAGTGCCCTAATGATTCTCTGGGGCTAAAGACTTTCTTTCTTTTTTCTTTAATGCTCAATAGAAAAAAGGTAAAAGGAAGGCTGCATTGAATTGTAGTCCTGCTGACTGGAAGAATGGAAAGTGTTTTGAAAGTCTGTTTTCATCACATGCAGAACCCCTTCATCCCAGACTGCCACAATTTTAAATGAGCAATTTCAAAGAGTTACCAGAATGTTTCTAGATGTTTACTTAAAGTTAAACAAAAACATTCCTTTTTTTTTATTATTAAAGAAATGGATAAAAACTTAACTGTTCTAGGGTTGCATTAATAAAGCAATTTAAAAAATTTTTATTAACAATATTTTATTTCAACTTCAATTTTCCTGCTGATTTTTTCTTTCAAAATGGAACAGCTAAACACTGAATTATACTGACTTGACTCAGAGAATAGCAAAATATTTTGAAGTCTGATATCCTATGATAGTAAATCTTAAATTTTACTGGGCAGTTAACTGTATAGTTGGCAGCTCAAATCCACAAACTGATCCATGGAAGAAAGATAAGACATTCTGCTTCCACAGAAATTTAGAACTTTGGAAACCCTACAGAGGATTGTTATGATTCAGAACTAACTCAACGGCACACAACAGCAATAACACCTCCATCAAAGGACACAGGGTTTTCAGATGGTTCAACCAGAGTTAGCACTGCTTAACTTTGCTTCTCTCATGGAGGGTGGCGGTTAAACGATGTGCGAGAACTGCGCAGACCTGGTGGAGGTGTTAAATGAAACCCAGACCACGGAGTGGCAGGGTGAGAGGTGTCTGG